ATCCGAGCCTTCGGGCTCGGGCGAGGGGAAGGAGTATCCACAAAACCACTTCCTAGAGGGATAGGTGCGTGATGGAGACAGAAGAAGCTCCAACCCACAAGAAGAAGTAGGTACTGAAGGTGATGGTTTTCTTTGCACCTGTCTCTTATACACATCTAGATGTGTATAAGAGACAGGGCGAGGGGAAGGAGTATCCACAAAACCACTTCCTAGAGGGATAGGTGCGTGATGGAGACAGAAGAAGCTCCAACCCACAAGAAGAAGTAGGTACTGAAGGTGATGGTTTTCTTTGCACAATGATAATGACTGCGGTTTTGTTTTGAATGACCAATGATGTAGATATATAGTTCATCATTCGTAGAACAAAAAAAATAATCATTGCCAAGGAGGACAAAGCGACCAACAAAATTTTGATTCGCTAGATAATACTTTCCTTCGAGCAAGTTGCATATGATACGAAGGTGTGGTCGAACCGAGAGTTCAAACTTCGGTCGGAAACCAAATCACTTGTTGATCTGCATGGTAGCAGTGAAATTTACTTGCAGGAATCATTCCTGGCAGGGTTAAATAGGTGTCGACAGACCCAACCATAAGTTAATCTTTCATCAATATCGAGCCTCCGCCTTGGAAGTGGCGGGGTAATTTTTTTTTTGTCATATAGGCCGGAAAGAATAACTTTGGCAGATCATCTCATCAAGTCAAAATTCAATCTTGCGTGATTGGATATGATAAGGTATTGATTTTATTTATTTATTTTGTTATCAAAGAATTATAAAGGGACTAGGATTATATTGTGGGTTTCATGTTTGGTTGAGACCGTCCTAGTCGACCGACGTTCGTTTGTACCGAGGAGATGAACGCCCTCGGGGACGGACAATGTTCGGGTCCATTTGRCGTTAACCAAGCGTACCTATACTCCAGCGAGCAAGCAAACRCCATCGGCTGACCTACCTCTGCAATTGCATKTAAAARCTTTCGCACGTGGGTAAGTAGCTCGGTAGGGATACGCCCCTGAGGGTGGTGACAKCCCCTTAGGGAAGGTAAGCTGTGCCCCCCGAGAACCTATCCTGTCGTAGGGGACCGTGGGATGTACAGCTGGCGCACCCGGCTAGAGCGGCGAAGGGGCAATGCAACCACGTCCATCTCGGTGGTTCGCGAGACTATTTATGCATCGTCCTAAGTTGTCTCAGGTTTTATTTTGTTTTAACTCCTGCGCGACATAGCCGGGAGGGCCCTCGCTCACGCGGGGGCCGATGCGCTCGACAACGGTGACCAGAAACGACAGGACGATACCGGCCTGTAGCATTAGGACCAAGCTTCTTCGAAGGGGTCGATCTCTGTACCTCCCCTCTAGTCCTCTCCCCCTATGAACGTCAGAAGTCTCCGCTCAATGCTGTTTAGCGGGGACCAACGACGTATCTCTGGATAGCTGGGCGCGAAGTTGCCCACAAAATACCTTTCGACCGTAGGCGGAAGGCGGAATGCTATGACGGGGCCGACAGGTAGATGTCGGGTTGGCTCATGTGAGGACGAGTGGAGCCGACAGAAATGTTGGAGAGCAGAACGTCGGGCGGACTTAGGCATAGGGACAAAACACTRACCGAACTATCAGGTGTCTGGTTTCCTTGGAGGTCCCGAGGCGCTGGATAGTCGTATTTGGCCGCTATTGCAGGCCRCACCAACGCAATAGCGAGCATGACGAACGTAGTGAGGAACCCGTTTGTGAACGCGGATGAAAATTTGTGCCGGGTGCTCGTGCTGTCGTGGCAAATMCCCTGACAAGGGTAYTTGCCGGGGTTTTTAAATGTCGGACACTGTCTGACTTTTTCGTTGAATTGATGGACTTGATGAGATGGATGTTTGTCAAAGCTTGTTCAAACCTGACCTATAACCAAGAGACAAAACTTTTTTTGAACTTTAGTTCAGACGCCTGGGGCTTCAGGGAGTAATGACGGTAGTCGAAAGGTTTGTCGAGGCCGCAGAGGCATGCAGACATGGGAACACTAAAGTTAGACCTAGTCTACCTAAAATAATGWCGCACGRCTTAGCASCCGCGCGATTCAGGGCCTAAGTGGGCTAAAAAGGGGGATGCACCGGGTATAGGGCCGCGGCGCACGAGGAATAGGAAGTTTTCCTGGACCCCGAAGGTTGGCATCGAGCCAGGGGGTTGATAGGCCGATGCCGAGGTCACGCGGCCAACGGACAGGTAAGGCGTGTCAGTAGGGCCTACAAGGCCATAGGCTGCCAGGCAAGTAGGGCATGCAAGGCCACAGGCTGGCAGGCAGGCAGGGCCTGCGAGACCATAGGCGGGCGGGGCCTGCAAAGCCCCGACATGGGAGATAGCAACTGGGCCAACTCTTCTTATAGAAGAGCAACTCCTGTCACTGTCATGATAGGAGTTAGCCAGTAGGATACAGTGAAGGACTCTCACCCAGCGGACACCGGGATCTAACCCAAAGCTGCAACTACCGGGCTAGCTTCTTTTGGGGCAGCCCGTCCGAAAGCAAGACGAGCGCAACCGATTTCGGTCGCATGCTCATCAAGATCACGCGGCAGAAATCCGCCGCACCAAGGTTAGAATGGCCTGCGCAAGGAGGACATGCATAAATCGGAAAAAAAAAAAAAAAACCCTAAGACAAAAGCACCGCATGACGCGTTCATAAGAGGTCGGGAGCTGTAACTCAAAGGCAGGTAGGCCAGGCGTCCGTTTTTACGAGCGTCGATCCCAATTCCTTTTAGGAATTTTTATTTTGTTGTTGTGTTTCTGATTTTTTTTGGTCCCTTACCATTTGAAATGGAAGCAGCCTCGCGACTTGAAGAGGCGTTGCGTCTTCCCGTGAAAAAGGGGCAAACTCGTTTCCATTTTGCACATCTGGTGAGTAGGGTGGTGAGGGTCATTTTTCGTGAGGTTGCACAACCCCACCATGCCCTGAATCCATTTGGATTTGGACTCTGGTCTGCATTTCAACAGTTCATGGCCGTGCCTTGGAGCCATAGCCTTCCAAAGGGTCCTTTTAGGCCAATGGGCCAAAAAAAAAAAAAGTGGGATCAAGATTTTGAGAAAATCTGCATTTTGCAGTTTGCGCCTATATTTTTTTGGTGGCGTAAATAATTTTTGTTGGCTCTGAAATGTTTTCTCTGAGTAGGTGGGCACCTATGCCACGGGCATGAATTTTTTCAGATGTTTTTATTTGACGAGATTTTAATTAAAAATCGCCAGAGTCGGGGTACTTTTTACATCCCGCTTTGACCTTGTCGGGATTTTAGCTCGTGATTATCACGAGTTGTTCTCCCCCCCCCARCCTTAGTACTGAGCTGGCAACCCTCTGAATGGGTGCCAGACAGAAAAAAGGCAGCCAATGGCTGTCCAGGTTTTAGTTGTAGCCATTTGGCTGCCTATTTTTAATGTGGGAGACCACGATGGGGTCTCCACCACAAAGATGTTCGATCTTGTGGTGGGAAAGAAAGAAAAACAAAAAAACAAAACGTAGAGAAAGACCGTGGCTGGGAATTCTTCAACCCCTAACTACAGCAAGTGAGTGCAGCTCCGGCTTGGCAAACTGAGGCTTTAAGGCTTTGAAGCCTCCGAATTGGCAGCCCTCCAGATAGCAAAGGGCTTGACTTATCCACCTTGTATTGAAGCCCTATGACGGCTGTTTGGGCTCAAACCCATGCGAACTGAGCTTGCCCCCATTTTTAATGAGAGGCTGCTCCGGAACTTGCCCTATGACGGCTGTTTGGGCTCAAACCCATGCGAACTGAGCTTGCCCCCATTTTTAATGACAGGCTGCTCCGGAACTTGGGTCCAGAGCCCGATGAAACAGCTTGAAGCCACCATCACAGGATGTACAAGACTGCAGAGGGAAATGTATATATACACACAAGGCGAAGCAAGGCTGGACAATGAAAGTTATGGGTCACAATAACTCCGATTCCACGGTGACAGCAGAGGAAGCAAGGAAAAGTGGCAAGTGGCAGTCACAAAATGATTTCGGGATTCAGCAGCTTGAGTGAAGGCGGATAGAGGCACATATGGGCCCATAACTAAAGTGATGTGAGTGCCCCACCTCTAGGACTATATAAGGAAGGGGTGGACCCAAGCAAAGGCATAGCGGAGCAGCAGCTTGACATAGCATGAGGCTATGGGCGCGTAGGGAGACCTTAGGCTTGATACGTGAGACTCAGGAGCTTAGGAGTGGATTGAGGTCCGGGAGCAGCTACACACAGCTAGGAGGGGCGTGGAGGAGCTGTCGGAGGAAGCTGCTGCTGCTAGAGGAAGTGTTGTCTGGAGGAGGAGAGTGGAGGTCTGCAATAGAGGCTGAGAGAGGAGGCTCCTATAACCACCATCTCAGCAAGGGTGGAGGTGCTGCCGTGGCCGAGTTAGGCCGGGACCCCCCCGGCCGAGGCCGGTCCGACCGAGTTTTTTCGGTCGCGGTGTCGACCGATCTGGGGGGCGGTTTTCGGAGCGGGGTGTGGGTTTGGGGTGGGGGGGTGGGGGGGCACCCCCTCAAAGTGACAGGTCATAAAAAAAAGAAAAACGGGGGGGTCCTGCACAAGACCGTGGAAGGGTGGCCTGTGAAAAATCCAACGGCCCCCGTGTGCAGGTTCGTCGATGCGGGGTCGCAAGGAGGAGGGTCTGAAACAGTGGAAAAAAAAATTAAAAAATATTTGACCCCTGCGGGGGCGGCCCAACGTGGGTTGGATGAGGGCCTGGTTGGGGCGGGCCGTGCGGCCAGGCCGGGTCGAAGCTAGACGGGGCTGCAGATGGAAGACCCCAGGCGGATCAGGGCCTCACGCACTGAAAGGTAGGCGTCGGTTTCATTGATGAGGGCGATGACATTTTGTCGCTTATTTTAAAACAACACATTCATGGCAATCATAAGCCAGACCCTGTTTGGCATACCAATGCCAAAACACATTGGAAATCAATCACAGTGCGGCGAACCACAAGTTTCAAACAATGATAATTGGCAAGTGTGTCATAGTGTGTGTTCACTCATGAGATTGATGGACATTCATTAGCACATCATTCATGTAAGAACACATTCATTAGCACATCATCCCTATGTCGCATCTGAAATTAACAGCACATTCATAATGGAGTCATCCATGACATGCAGGTGCGTGGCATCGGAGAAGCACATAATTTGCAACATTCACGACAATAGAGCAGAAAACAATCACCAAACAACAACAACTCAGATGCAAGACCAATGTTGGCGGAGGAACAAAAACAAGAGCAAATATATGACAAAGCATTTCAATGGAAATGCGTATGTACAAGGCTGAAGCCAAAAACTGGACCCGTAGTCTCTACTCTACAACCGAGTAGCAAAAAAAAACTGGACCCATCGTCTCTGCTACACAACAGAGTACCAAAAAAAAACTGGACCCGTCGACAGGCGTCGTCTCTACTGTACAACCGAGTAGCAAGAAAAAGAAAAAAAAAAACCTAATGTCCACATACTAACGTCGTCTCCATGGAACAACATCGACATAAATATGCTACAACCCTGCCGACAGAGCGTCCAGGCTGTACAACCACGGAAAAAAAAAAAAACTAATGAAAAAAAAAAAACACCACGAACGTCGTCATCTCCCACCAGAGCGCGCGTGGCCTCTCCCGGAAGAGTGGCGGCCATGCGATCCTCCCCGGCGCCCTCCTCTCCCTCCGGTACCTGTGCCCCGTGCCCCAATGACGTATGCCGCATGTGCTGCAGCGGCCGCCGTGGCCACCTGTGCCCTGTGTCTGCGGGCTGCAGTCTCGGTCGGCTCGGACTCAGTGTCAGCGTCCTCGTCCTCCTCCGCCTGTGCAGCAATCCCCCTCTCTTTCTCCCTCTGAATCGCGTCCGATGCTGCCTGCCCAGCGACGAGTCGAGCCTCAACCTCTGAGAGACCATGCTGTCGTCTCGTTCCGGGACGCATCAACAACCCCTCCTCGCCCGATGTGAACTCCTCTCCCCTCAGCCTTTCCGTGGATGTCCCTGGGGCCTCGAGGACCAATGTCCTCCTCGTCTCCGCTCGTGACAAACCAAGCATGCAGCCTGCCATCTGCAGGCTCGGACGTCCGGACCCGCCCTCCGCAGCCTGCGTCTGAACAGGCGCACGTCCCGTGAAGACGCCCCTCCCGGCGTCGTAATCCGCCCGCAACCGGTTCCCGACCCGACGAACAGCTGACCATCCGCCACACACACCTCCTCGGACTGGCGGCGGGGAACCTCCATTGTGCGCAACTCCGGGTGCCACCGTCCGGTCCCCGGTGTCGACCTTGCCCTCCGGAGTCCGTGCGGGCGGTGGAGGCATCGATCCTGCACTATCTCTGCCGCTATTGCTGCGTCTGTCGGACCTCACCTCACCCTCACCGGACTCCCTCCCTCTAACGCTGCTGAGCGATGAACCCGACTAGTGAGGGCTCTGCACTGTGAGCGGCGGCGGTGAATATACCCTCCTAGGGGCCCGCTGCTTGCCGCTCTTGCGGCTCAGGTGTGCGAAAGGGTCATCCGTCAACGCATGCGCCAAAGCGTCGGCGTCGAAGAAAGTGTGCGCTGTGCCGTCGGGGCGCATGGGAGGCACTGTGGGGTCCCTCAACACCAAGGCGAGCCTATACGGATCGTCCTCCGGACCGTGGTCGTCGTCATCGTCGTCRTCCGGTCCATAGTCTCCACCGACACCCGCGGTATCCCCATCTCCACCGGGTCCACCCTCTCCTCTRCCGCACASTGCGGCACCCTTTCCCTCATCAMCCGCGGTCTCGCTGTCGCCACGACCCCCACTAGGGGACCCACCGCCCATGACAACATCCTGCCCCTCAGGGACACCAGCGGCGGCATCCTGCCCCTCATAATCGAACTCCCCCTGAACCGCCTCCTCAGGGACACCCGAGTCGTCGAYGTCACGGCTCCCCTCCCCTCCTGTCTCCAAGTCCCTCTCCCAACGCTGCTCGTTGAGATACGCGAACTGACCCTCCCACTGTGGCAAACTCCTCAGCCGCTCCTCCTCCTATCGGTCCAAACGGACATCCCTCTCCTCCTCAGTCTCAACAGGGCCCCGCTCAACGTCAGAGTCTGTGCGCACATCCTGCGGTGAGGCACGTCGACGTCCCTCGAAACTAAAATCTGCCAAGCTCCCGCCAAGCCCTATGTCATCGAAGTCCTGTGTGCGGAGCACCGACGGCGAGCGGGGGCGGATACCGGCGTCGGAAGGAGTCCTCTCCCCCCCACGATCCTTGCCGTCATGTGTCTGGTCTCTGCCTGCTGCCGACGCCAACCTCTCCGAACGCCTAAGTGGCTTCCCCTCGGACAATGCAGAGATCGGATGATGGGAGGGAGAGAAACGACCATCGCGAAGGGGCACCTCCTCATCCTCGGCCTCCCCCTCCGCCTCGCTGTCGCTCCTAACCTCCCAACGCCTGCCTGTCTGCCGAAGACCTCCGCGTGGCTGCTGCTCCCCCGAGTTGTCCACGCGAACCTCCGCATGCGAACGTCCTCCATGACCACCGCCGACTCTGCTGCTGCCACTTGCCGGCGCAGTCGACGACACAGCACCAGTGATAACGGATGTGAATGAATCTGTGCCGTCACGACCCCCACCGTAAGTGAAGTACACTCGCTCAGTCGTCGGGTCGCGACTCAGCGGCGTGTCATCATCGTCAGTCCAGTCGTCGTCGATGTCGTCGTCTGCCGCAGCAGCGTCTACATCATCCCCACCCTCCGGCCATTGTCGCAGCTCTGTCGCTCTGCTGCCGAACACGTCCCGAACCGAACGGGCTCTGGACGGTCGGTTGTCACGGAAAGCGACAATCTGCCGCTGGATCTCCTGGTCGGGAACACTGCCATCAGGTCGCACCTCGCACACCTCGGGCTCCACATCTCCCTCCTCATCCTCCTCCTCTGCCATCGTACCTCCTCGACCGTTCCCCATAACCCATGGCAACACGTAACCACCACCCTGCCGTGCGCACGAGGCCAATTTGAGATTGGTGGCAATCTCAACCAGCTGTGCAAGCTTGGCGAACCCAAGCTTGCAGCGCCTCGCCATGCTGACGCGCTCGTGCTCCGCGCAGTTCCTCTCCGCTGGAGAGGCAGACGTCCACAAGTGCATGACACGGATGGCGATGGTGCGCAACTCCGGGTGAGCACGTCCATGCTCGAACCACCACGCTGCACATCGCTCGGTCTCGCTGTCCCCCCTGCAATCTGCCGCCTCGGCATCAAAGAGCTCACAATCTCCCCAATCCCCTCGCCTCGAGTGGAACGCCCTCATCTGGTCTTTCACGGTCCTGTACAATAACCGGACCGGATCGCCACCGGTCTGCGCCAGGAGAAATCTATCGCACTCCTCGACCACAAGGCGGTCGTCGGCGGTCGTATGCAGCGAATGGTAATACGTGAGGGACCGTCAGCGAGGGTTGAGGAGGTGGGCTGCGGCATGTGCGGGCTCTAGCATGTGGAGGTTGCGATGGCAACGTCACGCAGGCACGGCTCGATCATGTCCGTCGGCACGTCGACCCTCCTCATCAACTGCAGCAGATGCTGACTCCACTCGTAAACGACGGACATCATCATCCCACCTCTATCCATCCTGCCCAATAGCTGGTGGACGGGCGACATGACTAGGATGGCGTAATGGACACGCTGCCAAAACTCCCCGTCCCAGATCTGCTGCTGCACCCACTGCGCCTGAGATACGTGGGCGCGATCCCATCGGATGCGTCACGGTGCCTAAGCATCCCCGTGCAACATGCTCTCCAATGCGTCTCGTCGGCCTTTGAGACACGTGAGCATCAGGAAAACCGATGCAAACGGTATCTCAACGGGCTCGACGAGCTGAACGCGAGGGCTCACCTTCCTAAACAGGGCGTGAGCAGCGCCGTGCGATTTAATAAATCGCACAAGCGCTCGAGCGCGGACGATGGTCTCCTTGACGCACACCACTCGCGTCCCGATATCTGACAACATCAAGTTGGAGACATGGGTGGAGCAGGGGAGCCAAGTGATCCTCCTGATGTCAGGCTCGGRGTCTGTGGCGAACCTGCGCGCTGCCGTCGTATAGTTACTGGCGGAGTCTGTGCAGAAGCCGATCACGTCCTTTGCAGAAAAGGACAAGATGATGG